CAATGCAAAATTTACTACGAATAGATAACTGATAGCATAAAACATGAAAGTATGATAAATGCTGTACAAAATTGTGATGAAAAGTCGTTATAAGTAATAAGTAAGGTTGTTATATACTCGTAGTACACGCAAACGAAATCAAAACACAGCTACTTAAATTAAACTTTTGTTTTTCTTCTTTTATTTCTTTGTTTTTTTTTTTGTAAATTGCTTACTAACTCTAAAATAAATCTCAGCTGTGATAATAGCTAATGACTTATTTTATTTAAAATGTACTCGATGGCGCCACTTTCTTTCAATATTATTCGATCATTCATTGCTTTATTTCCGTTGTCAACAGTACACAGTTATTACTCATATGTACATTTTGCATTTTATTTGCTAATAAAATTTTATTATATCAAATAATAAAATTTTATATTCATTGTGATTATTTATTAATTACCTGAAGTTTGACAGAAAAAAAAGTTTATTTTTGTTTACTTTCACAATAAATATAAAATTCTAAACATATAAAATTCTTGTGCGTCGTGAAGATGTAGTATGTAAATATAGTATGTAAGTATATAGTATTTTTTTTTAATTTTTTAATTAGTTCTATGACAGCGTCAGCCATAATTATTTAATTTTGTTTTTCATGAAGTACTCGTATTGTCCTTTGGCTTGATCTCTGACATTTAATGTTGTTTGTAATGCTTAGTATTGTTATTCTAAACGTAATCCCTGGTCACAATACCCAGCATAATAAATTTCGAGCGCACCTACACCGCAAGCCATCATCTATTACGTGTTTCCTATATTCTTGTCGTGTTTATGTGAATAACGACTTTCTCAAGGCGTACAAAGATACAGTTATGTTTTTGTAGAGTTCAATGTCATCTGTATAATGTCATATAACGTCGCATCTTCCTTTATCTGTAACAAAATGAGAGACTTGAGGTCGTATGAGTGCAAACATAGCTAGTACCTATGCGCTACTCATTTTACGCTCTCGTGGATACGCTAATAGGAAAATTCACATTTCATTTGCTCAACAGATAGTATCTCCTCAGGATAGTAATTATAAATTAATTGCTTGCCGTTTTGTCATCACGACATGTTTTTTTTACCTTAATTAATGTGTCGTATGCTAATTTATATGATATATTGCAAACTTAAACGACATTTACAGTATAAACGAAGCCGATTACAAAGAATACGAATAATAAATGTACCTACAAATGAATAGCGTGTTTTATATTAATCAAATAAATGAAACTATTCATTATGAAAATACAATAATTTTCTTGTATTCACAATATCATGAACCTAATCTTTTCAATGAATCTGTAATTCTATGAATGTAAATACAATATACATATTATAATTTAGCTATATTTTACATTTATACATACGTACATAATAATATATGTGAATGCCAGACTGATTTCCGACAAAAGCCGTGAAACATGTAACGTCTATACTACTTAATAGATATTCAATTGCGTCTGGAATCCAAATTACACAGCAACAACAAGCACGAATCGATCCCTAGACATCAAATGTAGTAAGTGGTTAGGTGATTTACCAAGAAATTGATGAAAGCCCTGATCGTGCGGAGGTCATTTCGCGCGCTTCGAGTGTGGTAAGCTAGGTACCTACATATCTACTGCTCGATTTGGTCAGATAATTGATAACATTACTTACAATCGACAATGGTAACAACCGCAATCCGCATGATAGTTATGGTATGGTAACGGACGATTTTTTGCGTTTGCTCGTTTGAATTCTGACAATTGAAACTAAACAAGAAACGCATTTGGTTGCAAGGAAATAGGTTACGACGAAAAAGATATAAAAGTGTTATATCCGCTACACAAGTTCAGTTATGTAAATACGTACATTTATTACACAATGAATAAATTGAATCCAATGTACCCGTAGGTATAAAAAGTTGTTTGTATCTCTATAAATGCATTTCATAAATTTAATGCTAATTGGTCAATTTCTAAGTAAATAATTAAGTCTTTTAACACTAATTAGGTATATATAGTTATTGTTTTATAGTAAATAAATAAATATATAAGATGAAATTTCTGAAAATGTCTGTATATACTTTATACATATTTGATTGATCTTAAAATTGCTTGTAATATTTTTGTTTATACTTATTTTTCCACTGTTTTTATTACTTCGAATCAGTCTATTGATATAGGTATAATCTATGTTCATTTGTAGTGGAGTAATTAAAGTAAATTTTTATTACTTCAAAATTTCCTGTTTTCAATATATTTGGTTATGAGATCATTAGAAAAACAAAATATAATTAAAATAAAAATATCCGATTGGTAAAAACAAATATTAAGTAGTAAAATTCCTAAATAAAAAAATTAAACGAATGTGAATGAGTTTGTTTATTGTTTACTTATAGTCATTTAACGGCTTAACCAATCACTGGTAAAATGGTACTATATAGAATGGAGAAGAATATAGGTTACTTTTTAACCCAATCAATAAACATGTCGGCCACCCAAGCAAAGTCACGGGTAAAAGTATGTAATAATATACAAATTCTATTTATTATTTTTAATTTCAACGATTGCGACAATTCTATAACCTGAGAATACGTTTCGTTCGTACTTATTAATATTTTCATTACAACAGAAGTTATACAAATATTATTTGCGTAAACAATTGTTAAACAAAATTCTTGATCCAAAATATTATTATTGTGTAACAACTGTTTTTCTCATGAATTATTTAATAACGTTAGCTTTACATCCATGTGGGGACCCCTCTTCCGGTATAATTCCTGTATCCGGAGCTTGAATAAGTTATGTCAAGGAATCCGAACCGAGTCGTAAAATTTTAATTTCGGTCGATATTAAATGATATTGCTATGTTAGGGAGAATGTATGATCATACTAACATCGCTACGGATCTAATACGTCATAATTATTATTCCAAATCCAAATGATGTATGAACAGTGTAGGAGTAACGGATATCCTCATATATGCGAAGACAACGTTAACTATCACGTCACAGCAATTTGCAACTATGATCTAACACAGGAATACATGTAAAATACCTACTTGAATACTCGTGTTTCGAGAGCAACGACGTGCTCAGTAAAATACGATTAAGTGTATCACCACAAGTACTTCAAGTCACGTTTAAGATGTATGCAACAAGTTCTCAAGGCCATCTTGTTTGCACAAAGATAGTCCTTACTATATAAAATAAAAAAATCGTGCGTAAAACTTAAAAATAGCATAAAATCTCAAAAGGTTGAGTATGTACTTGCGTGCAACTTTGTTATTTATATTACAAACTTACCTATATATTTATTTATAGACCAAAACACAGGTATATTACTGTAATGATATTATGCTCAAGTGTAAGTAAAACTCACCGAGGGTTCCGCACGATACATAAAATATCTCTAAAAAGGTTTTTGTTTTCTTTGGATAAGAAAATATTTGAATATGTTGTATACTTGCTGATACTTCATAAATACACCCAAAGAAATAAAGCCATTGCAGTGACTTTTTACTCATATTTTCAATCATAAGTCAAAAACTATTTTTAGCAGAGCGAGACTTCGTACAAAAGTCGGTTGCTTGGGTACCTCTGTCCCATTCGTATGTCAACCGTAAAGCAGTTGTGTTTGCATAGCTGTGTTTCGGTTTAAAGGGTGGGATATGGCGTGAATTTACAGGGTATAGAGGAATAATATCCGAGTCCTCAGGAATGACAACGCATGAGGGGTATCATGGGCGTAACAGTAAACTCTGTTATGTCCTTGGTACTGCTCGTGTCTATAGGCGACGGTTACCATTTTCCATCAGGTGGGCCGTCAGCTTGTTTGCCATTCTAAGTTGTATAAAAAAAAATCTATGTAGCACATAAATAAATAAAATTTAGTTTTCAAATGTACAAATGAAGTCATTTCATATGTCAATTGACTTACTAGTGGTACTATCATGATAATCCACCTGGACTAGTAAGTCAATTTTGAAATTTTGAGTACCGATTTTGTATCCTCTAGTAAAGAAAATGAAAATATTTTTTCAATTGTTTTTATTGAAAAATATATAGGCCAATAATATTTAAAACTATATGTTTAAATTGATAGCGCATCATAAGATGAATGGACGGGCGAACAAAGCCGCACCATAAGGGTTTTTTGTACCTTTTGGTACGGAACCCTAAATATTATAATATTATGTATACCCAAATAAACCGTTTAGAGAAAAATCGATGTAGTGTGAAAAAGATATCTAACGAACATCTTCAGATCCAAATCATCTAGATTCTAACCTTCATCTTTTAGAAATATTATAACATTTAAAATATAAATAAAACAAAAGTAAATTACAATTAGAATGAATACGATGAATATTTATAGAGTTTAGAATAGTTCAGTTATACAAGTGTGCGAGCGGACTGTATGGCACAAAGCGTATGTTTACAACTGTATGCCCTATATTCTTAACTCTATCATTTGTCGTGATTAATATATGTGCAACATAACTGTGAGCAATTTGCAAATCGCAGAGAAGGGAATGTTCCCTTTTCATTCAAATGCGCGAGACCTTTTGTGTACTTATATAGATGCACAAAATAGTTTTATTATGTCCTTGGTTTTTGATTTTGTTAGGGAAAAAATATTTAGTTCAAAACATATAAAAATTTGGCTGACATGAAAGGTACTATTATTGTTTTATAAGTTTTATTTTCAATATTGGGATAATTTATTTGAAAAAAATTATAAATATTAACTTTATTGGAATTCAAAAGATTCAACATAACAGTTACGGTACTATAATTTTCTATATAATATACACATATAATTTTCACAAAATTAAAAAATACACAAAGCAGTATATTCCATATCTAAGAATAATCTTTGAACGTTTTATAGTAAATGGACTATGTGACCTTATAGTTTATTATATGAATAAATAAAATTTTATTTATTTAGATATACATAATTATATTTTTTTTCCTGTCTTTCCAGAAAATACAAGGTGGCTTGCTCGGTGAACAATGCAAGTCGAATGCAGACTGCGCCACATCAAAATCACATTGCGAAAAAGGCGTTTGCATATGCGACCCTTATTATGCTCGAGTTGATAACAGTACTTGCCTCGAATGTAAGTTCATAATTTATCATTTTTAAGCAACCTTCGATAAGAAAGATCTCTATCTATTTGTATTCTTTGAGCGCATGTTACACAATATCTTCATATGGTAATCGCGTTATCATGTAGCGATATTGTCAAATCTCTATTATACCTAATATGATAATAAAATCCTGCCATATTGTATCATGCTAAGATAAATTAAAAGATGAAATCAAAATGCATTTATATCGATCATATAATATTTATTATTTAAAATAATTGTACTTTGTTCCACTATCTTTATCATAAGTAATGTTTTAATTATTACACACGCGGCAGTTCCAGACAGTGGAACAAAGTACAAATATTTTAAATAATATTATATGATCGATATAATGGAGTTCCATTAAGAAGTCACAACACGAAAAGTGAGTTATACAAAATGCAACTGCATGAAAATGTGACGTTTTCATCATCAAATATTGTAGATGTCCATTACATGATAGTAATCATGAACATAAATGGTGCACGGTACGACTTTATCTTGGAGGGGAAATTAAAAGCAACTTGATGAAATAACTACACACACTTCGCTGCCATATTTAATCACAACGATAAAACCGTATCATACGAGTACATACCATGCCATGCTATGGTAAAAATTGCACGATGTATATTTCAAATTTTAAAGTATTTACATACGAGTTTGTCAATTATTTAACTTTTATGTACCTACATTTTTAAATGAAAAAAGTAAACAAGTCGTCTGATAGAAACATGACAGATGACATCTGTCGTTTATAGACATGACCAGTATCATGGATAACACAAAGTATACTGAGTAAGTATACTTATGATTCTCTTCATGAGTTATTTTCGTACTCTATAATTTTACTGAGAAACTAAAACATACATAAGTAGGCACAGGTGCTTCACGGCGAAATCACAAATGAGGCAGGTAGATAGGGTAGATTCTGATTCTAAAATCACTGCATCATCTACAAAAAGAGTATACACGCATCCTAAGTATGAAGGTGCACGGAATTACTTTTTTTTGTTATAAAATGAACGAAGCTTTGTAATCGACACAACATTCGATCATGGTTTTCACTCCTAACCATAGACCAGGTGCTTACCTAATGATCCTTGTGTGGTCTGTGGTTACTCCAGCAAATTACTTTCACTGCAATAGTAACAACTGTCGGCAGTTGTCATCATAAAGCACCCAAAATTAACTTTTAACCGAAATCATAATTCGCTTTCCAATAAACGAATACGGGCATCAATCAAAATCTTTTACTACAATATAAAGCCGTCATCGTGTCATGATTCCTTTGCAGTTTATGAAAGGTGAACGCATTTGTATCATAATAATACATTATATGATGATCTTTGTACACTTGATTTACTTTCACATATTGTAATTTCTCCCATAGATATAAGAAGTGAAAATTGTTTTAGATAATATCTCCAGTTGGGTCACACCATCACAATATGGAAATAAAAACAAACAGAATGTTCTTAATGTCTACCCAGACATTATGTTCCTACGTAGAAAATATTCATTTGAAACAGGAAATGTGGTAGTAGGTACGTAACGTTTTACGGCCAACCGGAAATTTACCTACATGGTGTTTAAAATGTACTTACTATAGATATGGAATTATATAGAATACCACATACACCTATAATTTACCCTAATACTCGAATAATACGAATATTTAAAGAATTCCATTGAATTTTTTAACAGTAATAAATATCTGATAAGTGCACGTGTACCGAAAAATGTCACGGTCCAGTCATAGAACACCCTGTGTAGATCGTTGATGCTATTTGGTCCAATATTTTATTATTTGTTTTCGATATACATGGTGATGGTTTTTTTTTCTATAAAGAAACTTGTATATGTTGTGTGCTTGATTATTTTCGTTGACGGCTATTTTCTCTACCTCAATTTGTATTATCATTTAAGAGGAACTTCGCGGCTGGCATAATTGAAATCTTTGGTAGACTTAGTTTCCGGTGGTTGCGGTAGAATGTGAAAACGAATCCGTGGCCCTACATTACGGCAAAGAGGCGAAACACCATGGGGTTTAAGACAGTTTGCGTACCCGGTCGAAAGAAACGAGTGGGTTTTTATGAAGGATTTGTCTACGTAAAAAAAATAGTTTAGTGTCCGGTGTTAACAAACCTTTATTTTTGATATGTTATAAATTTAAGCATTTTTTGTGTACAATCAACTAATTTAATTTAAGAATTGAACTTTTCTAAATTACCTCTAGTCTAGATGTTTTGAATTGTGCCCCCAAAAGTCCTTTGCCTGGTTCCTCATAATACAGGATATCCTAGGACTGGTGTAATCGTGTGACACTTATTACTATTATGTTAAAAGTAGTGAATAATATGACCACAAATATGTTGCAGAAAGTATGTAAAAGCAGATAGTGCATAATCGTAATGTTCCTTATGCTGTGGAATATACAAGTATCCACGTAAACGGTAACTAAAATGGTAACGTTCTATACAAATGTACTCGTAGGTACCTTACTAACCTTATAAACATATAAAAAATATTTCTTTCACATTATCGGGGCCAACAATAACAATGACTCGAGGACATCCCAAAATTGTAATGGCATTAAAGCCTCCGGCCGCGGTCGCAACATAATCGGCAATCTTTTATTTTGATCGCATATTGTTTTGTTTGTATCGTCATCGCACAATCCCACGCCTCACTTTCTGTACCCATTTTGTTATTCAGAATGACCAACACGACCGACCTGACCAAATAAAGATAGTAGATCATAGGTAGATTACAACTGTTTTTTAACTAATTATCACGTGTTTAAGGGTCGATATAGTCATATTTTAGGTTAATCTGTGTTATCAATAGCGAAAGCACTGATTTTATAATTGTTTGATGATCAAGGTGTTGAAGGATTCACTAAATACATAATTTTTACAACCATTAACCAGGTATAGGTTAAATCAATTTTATTCTTTAGTTTTGTCCTTTTTTTATTTGAAGAAAGATCATAAAGTTATTGTCATTATAAGATGTTTCAAAATTACTTAGCAGTAATATAAACACTAATAACACTAATATTTAATTGTCTTGCTTCAACATCTTTAGGGCCACATAAATCAGAATGAATGAGTTGCAGTGGCTCAGTCATCCCTTTTAAACAAAACTTCTAATGAAATATTTTAATTGTCTCTATTTATTTTTGATATCATATATCAGAGGGAGACTTTGTACAAAAGTCGATTGCTTGGGTACCGCTGTCCCATTCGTGTTTCTACCATGAAGCAGTTGTGTTTGCATGGCTGTTGTTTCGGTTTGAAGGATGGGATATGGCGTGAATTTACAGGGTACAGAGGAATAACACCTGAGCTCTCAGGAATGGAAACGCATGGGGGGGTATCATGGGCGAAACAGTATATGTTATGTCCTTGGCACAGCTCATGTCCATAGGCGACGGTTACCACTTTCCATCAGGTGGGCCGTCAGCTTGTTTGCCATTCTAAGTTGTATAAAAAAAAATTACGAATACAGTCCTGTACAGTTGAACAATAGACAAATATTATTACCTCAACAAATTAATAAATATCCAACTCCCAATAAATATTAGTCGCCGTTTGGACCCGGCATAGAATAGGCCATCCTTTCTTTTGTCATGGGTATCATAAAAGGCAACTCAGGGAATTTAATATTTGATGGGCATCAGCGTTCCTCTTAATACATTACCAAAACCTAACTGCAGTTGCCAATCCGTTTGCCAAGCGTGGCAGTTACGGCTATATGAGGTCTATAATCAACAGAGGACAGTTAACGGCTGGTATGGTGATGATGAACAAATTAAAGTAAGAAGATAAGTAGTTACACTACGACTTGATTTTACATGAAAGACGACTGAGTTACATACGGAACCTATATGTACAATATCACTTAATCTAGTGGATTTTCTGTAAGTGTACAAGTATGTTAAATGATTTTATCCATATTTTTCATGTCAACGACGTATTGTATGAGACTAATATTCACATCACGTTTTGACGAATAGAAATACATTATAATAAGGAACCACATGCGGATGTGGTGAATAACATGTACGACTTCGCAGACCAGTGCGTCCAGTCTGGCGGCATTTCAAACCAGGATAGAACTCAGTAACCGCTAGGCGACCACACCGCTGCCCTCGTACCATTTTATCTCTAACCTAAGACCTTATAACGTATTTTAATATATTAATTATTTTATTATTTAGATATCCGGTATCGTTTACAGATTAAACTAGTATTTTCCAACAGTGCGAAATTTGAGTTCTTTCGGAAATTTTGGAATGTCCGTAGTTAGTCTTTATTTACATTTTGGGCAGGAAATGAAACGTATGTGCAAATATCCATGTTTTGTTTTTTATAATAAATATCCAGCACTTCGGTATCGGTCAATAAATATATTACAAGTATAACAGTTTACATATCGACGGAATTTGGAGTGGCTCTAAAAATCTTGTTTTCGGACATGTTTACAACATTTCAATATTGGATTACTTTAATTAAATATCCATGACAGGAAGCTCCTAATTTTTCTCGACAAACTTTTCGAATGAGTGAGAAAACTATAATATTTACCAAATAATTTTATATCTTTATCCTTAATTGAACAGGCTTAAAACTACACAAATACGAAAACATACGGATCCGACTAGTGACATTTTTTTATTTAGATATTTAGTGTCTTTTTTTTACTGCATGCAAAGTGACGAGTTATGTAAATTAGATAATTATACCATTTTTATAGTTGTATACCTACCGAATTCTAATCACTTGGAGTGTTGATCATTTTATACCTATTTACATTAGATAATAAAAATGTAAAAAATATCAATCCGTTATTTTTTATATTATTTTAGTTACATTCGACAGATTATAATTATGTTTTGTAAATACTTTATGTGTATTCTATTTAAATTAACAGGAGATAGATAAACTTTATTATGAGTATGTGCTGTTATGCATTTACTGCG